TATATAATTCCATAACAAACATTTAATATTCAATGGTAGAAGGTAACAAACTTAATGATCTTACCACACACACACACACACACACACACACACACACACACACACACATATACACACACATCCCTTTCTTGTAAGACAAATGAACAGATAAAAACACAAAGCCACTTAAAAATTGTAAATGTTAGGATTTAAGACCTGAATAAATCCATATTGCTTGTCAATATGACTTATTTCATTACAAAATAACCTTAAAGACTAAGCTTTTCTATTCCACAAAATTAAAATTATACTAACTGCAGCATGCATATTTAAGTAGTATTGGAAAATATGGGGGAAAATCAACTTAAAAAATTAATCTGTGTTAAACAGACAGCAACATCACCAACTGTTTTAACAAACTATTGACATTTGCTTGCTAAAATCAGAAACATTTGGTTATCACACATGTTTTAGGTCTTATCAACACCCAGTGTATGGAAAATATCTCTATTTTTAATAAAGTCCCAAAAGAAGGAAAAAAATTATCATACTACAAATATTTTCCACCGCTCAATAGTGCATACAGGTGTCACTTAGTAAAACCCACAGAAAAATACTTGCTCACAATAAAAATGCATTTTTATGTATATCTGTCACATCGATGATGGATTTTTCTATGTTGAATTCTTAACCTCTAAATAGTTAGGTTTCGTGTAGCCAAAATTAAAATAACTAAATTTTGCTAATTCATGAGTTATTTTTCTTCATTTAACTTTCAATGGAAGAACGATTACAAAGTTTAAGTAAAATCATTTTGTTCCCTAAATTATATTTTTAAACATTTTATAAGATTTAGCAAGTATCTTTATTCCATTTTCCCTTTGTGTTCAGGAAGCAATAGTTGAAAAGAATATATTGATTTGGCTATTATACATCAATTAAACAACATGAACTAGAATGAAAATCCACCATCCACATATATTTTAGGGCTTGCACGTGGCTCTGCCTAATTCAACCAAACAAGTAAAATCCTCTGCTTGCGGTCAAGGTAGCAAGGCTAAAATGACAGGGAAAATCATATACCTTTAATCCCTTTAAAATTAAATCAACATGTTTAATTCAGCACAAATATGACAAGGGTCTACTTCTTTAAACCTCCAGAGCTAAAGAAATATTTTCCACCAAAACAACTGAAATCAGGCGGAATAGAGCATTTAGCATTACCAGAAAAATAAGAATAAACATGGCTTTGTTGCTATATATGTCTCTCCTGTTAGTAGGCAAGACAGACCAGACCAACTGGGATGTGTACTTTCACTCTAAATGCAAATATTTTTAAAGGTACCCCACTGAAGTAAAGGAATGCCCTGTAAAACTGTTTATTTAAAAATAAATCATATTTTTCTTTGAACGTGTACTGGTCTGCAATTGTATTTCTCAAGAATTATAACAGCCATCGAAGCAGTTTTTAAAGGGAAATAAGAATAAACAAAACAGTGATTCACACACTATACCCGAACCCCCATCCACCCAGATTTGCCATTTCTTGAAGTTCAGTGGATTTAAATACACTCTCCTTAGTGAGGAACTCTTCAACATTATTTAGCCTTCATATCTGAAGTTGGAAATTGATCATCTCCCTAGAACTCTTTGAGCCTCAGTGTTAGCACAGATAAAAATGAACATCATAATAACAATAATATGAATAATCTCTAAGAGTTGAAGTAAAATTCAAATAAGATGAAATAATGGAAGGTAACACTGAGAGCCTAGAGCTTAACACACAGAAGGTACTTGCTAAATGCAAGTTCCTTTTTTCCTTAAATACCTTCACCTAGAATAAGAGGGAAGTTGTTCATTTTCCACAAATGGAGCTTTTTTAGAATGAAGTCCCACCCAGACACATTTGCAAGGAAAAGAACAATCCTTTTGGAGAAAAGAAACTGCTTATATAATTTTTTAAACTCAACTCATTTTTATTATATCACCATTACTATCTCAAAAAAGCAGTCACTATGAAAGGTTGATGAGAGAGCCTTGTCATATTCCAAGAACTTACCAAAGTGAAATCTTGGGACACCATGAAAAAAATGGATCAATGCAAATATTCCTTCAACCTAGGCATATTTGGAAAGTGAAATATATCTTGCTTTTTTCTGCTTAACCAGAAACAGTTTAAGACCAAGTAAAAAAAAAAAAAAAAAAAAGAACAAAAAACAATTTTTTTTTTTGTCAACTAGCTTACTTTGAATTATTATTTAGACGAAGCAAACCCATGGGTGTTTTCTTCTTGTAACTTACCTAAAAACACAATTAATTAGAATAAAAAATAATTTGAAGAGGTGGAATTTGTACTCTCAAGAATGTTTAGAGGCAGTTTACAAGATTTACATCAAGTATTAACTGTCAAGGAGACTGTAATAAATATGTCATCCTCCAGCGTAAGTGATAAGAATGTCTCTGTCTCAGACTATGTGGTTACGATAGGTTTGTGCATCTGCTGACTGATTTATCAGAATGTCCACTTCAATCACTGCTTGGCCTCAGCTTCTCCAATGCAATATTTATCACAGACACTGATAATCTTTAAATCTTCTGAAATTGTCTTTCACATCCTCTACATAGCAAAAAGCTAACGTTAGAAACAGAAGATGCCATTCATTATTGGAAGGCAATTTGGAAATCGTCTCAGCCAAACCCGTAATTTTCACATATTAGCAAACAGAGATTTCATTAATAGAAAAAAAAACAAAAAACAGAGAAAACATTAAGAGATTTGCATAAAGAAGTCACACGGAAACATGGTGGAGGAAAACAACTCTACTCTCTAAATCCTATTTCAAGCCCTAACCTTCAACTATGCTTATAGGGTTAAGGGAGATATTTCTAAGGAAAGCTCCAGAAACCTACATGGTAAAACAGACCTTGACATCTGCTCATCTCCTCACTCAACCTCGCCAGTTTCACAGATTCATAATGTCTTGGTGTTTGAGATGATCTGAGCATATCAGCAACACAAATTAACTGAAAGGGAACCAATTGCATAAACTGTAGATTTAAGGCAGACTGTTTCTTATTTTCAGTTTCTTCTTAATTCTTCGAACATACCCAGACAGGCAATGCCAGAGAAAAGTATTCGCCTGCTAAGCTAACCCAAGTCACAGAAACATGCCTACTATAACATAAAATTTGGGAAGTTTCCCAGCCCGACTCCTAATCCATTGTAGAATGTTTGCTTCTTTACATCTCAGTTTTATCTCCAAACACCAAAGAGTCTAATTTCTAACCTCTTAAGATGCATAAAATGATTGAGAAACAGTTATAACTTATATGGTCATAAACAGAGAAAAAATTTTATCCTAAGATGACCTGTTTAGGACTACAATTAGAAAGTGATGTAAAATCAAACTATTTGGAGGTTATGTTTCTTTATTAAAGTGTAAAAGAAAATAGTTCTGAAGATAAGAGTCCAGATATTTTCCAAGTAGAAAAATGTTGGTTTCCATATAATGCTAACAGGTCAGACAGCCATATGAATTGTAGCAGGTGACTACTCCCCAGCCCCAGCTCCAAAAAAAAAAAAAGTGGTTCTCTCATGATATTAGTATACATATGAAGAGAACAAATAATTTGGAATTAAGTCAATGACATATATTCAGAGTAATTTAAAGTACCCTATTTTATTATAGACATAACACTTAGATATCTGTTTTGGTTCCCATGGAGTCTTGGAACACATACCTTTTTAAAAAAAATCCCCCCAAAAAAAAAAAAAAAAAAAATATATATATATATATATATATATTAAAAAATCTGTTTCCTCAAAACTCTCTTCTCCTTCTCCCAATTTAAATTCTAAAATGCACGACTTGAAATTTATGTTTATATTTCTAGTATCTATATCTATAAAGTTGGAAATCAGTTTTTCAAATGACTCTGAATGTGGACTCAAAAATCAAAGGGAATATTTAAAATTTTACATTTATAATCTTTATAACAACTTTAATCAATTAAGTCTGTTAATGATATATAGTGAAACAAAGCAGGAGGGAAAAAAAAACCCAAACTTCTCATTGGTCTAGTTTGAACTCCTCTTAATTTTAACACATCGTTTTATGAGCTCCAGGGGGTTAGGCAGGCATCTTATGGATCATTCCATTGCTAGCTTCTCCCACAGCCTCTGTGGTTTGCAGTAGAGGCTGTTTGGTCTGACTTGCATGGAAAATTCAGCTGTGAAATATTTTTATGCAACAGCAAAGACAATCAGCCTTTTTATTTTTTCAAGGCGGGGATCTAGAAGTGAAGTGAGAACATTTGATTAGTCTGCTTTAACTTTAATAACCAAATGGTGATTGAAAAATACAAATTTCGTATTTGCAGGAATGGGGAATTGGCGGTTACTAAATCTGTAGGGTTTTTCTTCCCCATTCCAGATCCCATGAGCAAACAGCAAAATTAATAAGATTATGATCCAGAATTAGGTTGCATTCATTTTCAAAGCATTCATTTAAAAGTATAGAAATGTTTTTTTTAATGCTCACATTTTTAAACGTAGCAAGAATGTGGCTACCAAATACCAATCCTGAGGAATATGGATACACATTTACCTTCATAATTAGACCCAGCCCGTCAAATGTTACCAAAGTAAACTGACCGAAACCACAAAGACTGATTGAAAATGACCAACAGAAAGTGTCTGTCCGTCTTAGGGAGCCTTGCTTATTCCCTGCACAACCAGTGGTCAAACATCTGCAGGCAAAGAAATCTACACGAGCCATCCTGGTAAGAGAGAAATCAAACTTCTCCAAATAAGTTAGCTCCATCTTGCCAATCTAAATCCAACAGGTGTCAATACACGTCACCAGACAAAATCCTTCCCAGCAAGGTCTAGAGAAGCAATGGATGGTTAGCAGAGAAACTAAAACGACCCGACCTCTATCAGGGTAGTGAAAAAAATAAAGCCGGGCCCCTAGTCCAACTGATCACTCGGCGCTAAGGTGGGGGATGGAGATGGGACAATCCCTGGATGAAGACGGGCAGATGCGTGGAGATGTCCCGCCACTGACGCCACACGGGGATTTCAGAACACGGTCCGCGCTCTCTGTCAAGCCCTCGCTCCCGACCCCAGGGTTAGAACAGCAAGGGAGTGCGGTGGCCGGAGGCTGGGAGACCCGGGAGGGAGGGCGCGCGGTACCTGCTTGTCGAGCGCGTCCCGGACGCCTCCCGGTCCCGCGCCGGCCCTGGGTGGCGCGGGGGTCCGTTCGCAGGTGCAGCCTTCCAGGAGGTACATGCCCGCCGGGCGGCCGCTCTGCTCGCCCTCGAAGTAGAAGAGCACATTCTGGTACAGGGCGAACCACTTCTCGTGCCAGCGGCTCGCCTCGGCCGCCTTCTTGCTGAGGAAGCCGCGCTTGGTGCCCTCCTTGCGCGCCAGGAAGGCCAGGTACAGGGCGTGCCCCTCGTTGTAGCGCACGCTCTTCTGCATGGTGAGGGGCGGGGGGCGCGCGTGCGACCTCCCGCCTCACCGCCGCCTCGAGGCCATCGCCCGGCCGGCCCCCTCGAGGGCGCGCCCGCTCAGGTCCCAGCTGGCGAAGGGCGCCCCCTTTCCCGACGCAGCGCGCAGGGCACCCGGCCCGCTTTCGGGTCCAAGGGGCGCGGGCTGGGGCCGGGCACGTTCTCCGCTCTGACCGCCACCCTCCCGGCCGAGAGAAGCCCCGGATCCCCCGACGCCCGCGTGAAGAGCGGCTCCGCGAGGGCGCCCGGGCCGGCGACCGCTCCGCCCAAAGTTGCGGGCGCCGAGCCCCCGCGGCGGGCTGGGCGGCGCGACGCGCGGCAGCGGGAGAAGGACTGTCCTCGGGCAACGCGCTCCGGGAGACAGAAGGTAAAACGTCACGTGGGAGATCAGCTGTAATCGGCTTGGATTTAAAGGGCAAAGTCGGCGCGGCGGCGGCGGCGCAGCCGGCTCTCCCCGGCGCGCGTCCCTCCCCGGCCCGCCCCGGCCCGGGCCGCTGCCTCCGCTCTGGTGCCGGAATGGGGCGGGTCGTCGCGAGGTGGAGCGCCCGGTCGCACCACACACGCGCTCACACGCGCGCTCGCACACTCGGCACAACGCGCGCACACACACGCAAATGTACACTCGCATACACACGCGGACCAATGCGGCCCCACAAATACGTACAGCGCACACGCGTATGCACGAAAATACACACAAATGCAACGCACACACTCATGCACAAAAATACACATTCACATACACACAGGGAAATACTCGCGCACACAGTACACGAATACATTTGCACAAATACACATTCACACGAGATGCTCATGCAAACAAGAATACACAAAATACACACTCAAATCCGCCCACTCCTGCACACCAAAATACAGACCCACACAGAAATACACACTTACACAGGCAACCACACACAGGCACACACTGAAATGCTCACTCACACACACATTCACATACACAACCCACACACTAAAACTCACAACTAAACAACATATCCTTATACACATTTACACTCATACACACACAAACACGCACATACACTCACAAATTCACAATCATACATAGACTCACACAGGCAAAGAATCACATACAAACGCATACACAGATGAACACAAATACACACATTCACATACAAACACATAAATTCATCTTAAAACACTCGCACAAATGCACACTCATGCACAGGCATCCACACGCATACAAATACATAGTCGCAACATCCGGACACTCAAACCCACTCTCACACTCATTCCACATCCACAAGTCTGTCCCCATGGCAGTGGGGGAGGTCACAGGGTGGCTCTGCATACCCGGGCCACATTGGCTTTTCCACCTGTACCTGCACTGTGGTATTTAAGGCCGGTGGCGGCGAAGGTTAATGAGAGTAGCACAAGTGTTCCCAGAAAAGCATCAGGTGCCTTTGGTTCCTTGTGGACATGTGTTATTTCATGGAGTAAGACGCACAATTTTAAGTGCGAAGTTTTCAACCGGGGAAAAAAACAGCCAAACGAGGGAGACTTTGCAGCTGGGGACAGAATCCATCCCCAAAGGCCATGCTGTGATAGGCTCGCCAGACACCCTTTCTAGGACTGGATTCATTTGGTTAACAAATCGACAGGTACAGCTGGAAACCAAGGCCCCCTGCTATAAAATGTAAGCGGAAAAGAAATCATGTACCCAGCAGCTGTGAGAGAAAGCTAGTGAAACCCCCGGGGGGGGTTTCACTGTATGTGGTCCTGTATGTGGTCCTGCTATACGCATTTTTTTATTCCCCTTAGTCATTTATCATTAAAATGGTGTGCCATAAAGTGTTTATTGTTCAAAGCAAATAATAAAATGCTTTTCTGAGTGGTGAATCTGCGACAATACACCTGTCTTGTACTGCCAGTTGTGTGTTCCTAAATCGTAGCCCCAGGGTTCTGCCTGTTCTGTAAGTGCTGTTTTTGCAGAATATTTTAACTCTGCCTCACTGAGCAGCACAAAAAAATAATTTTTTGTCACTTTACCTTTTCAAAAATCTTTCACTATTAAAAACTAGGTAACAGGAAAATTGCCATTTTGAAATTACAGTGTGAGAACTGTGGTCATTTAACACATTTTTAAATATCTAAAGGATAGTACCGTGGCTAAATTGAGTTTAACCCAGCTGGGAGCTTGCTTTGTTCTTTAGAGGAGATACAACCATAGAGACAGTAAGTAAATGCAGGCAACGTGTTTGAGCCGGATTCTAGATGCAGAGGAGCCGGTGATTGCCTCAGGAGGCCTTTTCTTTCTTTCTCTGTGGTCCAATCCCAGCTCTGAGAACAGTAAGCCAGGAGACACCTGCGTAGTGTTTTTAGCTGAAACCATTAAGGGTGTGAAATTAGCACAGAAACAATTTAACGATGAGTATTTGAACCTTCTAACCCTTTGAGTTTTTTCGGATGTGAAAGATTCTTTTCTTCAGCAAGCAATGTCTCTGGTATTAATGCTAGTCTCACCCTTCCTGTCTCCTTAAATGTCCTTTTCATTTGAACCACATGAAGTGTTCTTCTCAACCTCTTATCTGACATAACGTCCTACCACATACCGTGTTGTGGCTGTCATCTGTCCCCTGACAATCAGAGAAAGGAGCTCTGGTTTCCTCCAAAATTTGGCTGGTCAGTGCTGTGGGTTTTAATTATGGAAATTCGCTGCAAGAACCGTTTATTGATCATGAGTTTATGTCCTCAACACTATATTTAGGTGATGTAGAGGATATAGAGAAAAAACATTGCCTGTGTTCGTGGTATACTCCGAGTCTAACAGGAAGAGGCTCTAATGGTTAGGTGCTTCTCCTCGCCTGATTGCTTCTCCAATGCACAGCCGTCTCCCTAATCCCTGCAGCACCCAGCGGGGGAGCTTATATGCAGTCGGCACACAAGTAATTCACAGATATTTTCTAAGATAATTTAATATTTGGTCATTGGATTGTTAAAGAGGGCACAAACATCTGCAAATATTAGATCCTTCTGCAAGATTGCAAGAAAAGAAAACAACCAGAAATCCCTGCACAATCTAGAGATGCTACATCCACAGTAGGTGTGTGATGGGCGTCTGTGGGCCTTGAACCTCCTTCATTCATATGGAAACCGCATCCCTGGAATGGTGCCACCCAGAAACACAAAGGGCCAGGAGGTTATGTAAATGAGGATGATTTTCCCCAGCTGATCAAACTGGTTAGCAAATGGGACTGTGTTCCAAGTGGGTGGGAACAAGCTCTTCTGTGAATTCATTGTTTTTCCCGCTGGCATTTCATGGACTCTTTCCTGAGAGGGCCAGTTTAAGTTGATTTTTTTAGGCCAACAAAACATTTCTCACTGATAATTGTGAGAGTGTCCTCTTTGCCCTTTTCTAGGCAAGTGAAGAGGAGAAATGAGCTACCGTATCTGGAAACCCTAATTACTATTAATACTTATAGAGGGAGACATTATTCAGATAATTTGATGAAAAAAAGGAAGGAAGGGAGGGAAGAAGGGAAGAAGGAAAGGGAGGAGGGAGGGAGGCAAGGAAGGAAGGAAGAAAGGAAGAAGGTATTTTATCTGAGTTATCCAAAGCTTTGAAAGTTGGGGGAGTGGGGCATGTACAGCCTAATCTATAGCTTTTCAAAATCCCTAACTCAGGCCTTATCTTTCGGACACAGAAAGTAGGTTTTAATTTTTTTCCCTTCTCTAAACTGTGTTTTGTTGGTAGAATTTAAATGGGCTTCATGAGTTTTTGCAATGACTTTATGCTATTTTTTTTGGTTCTGTTCTTATTTTTTAGAAGCAAGTTCTTGCACTGTCCCCCAGGCTAGAGTGCAGTGGTATGATCATAGCTCACTGCAACCTCCAACTCCTGGCTCAAAGGATCCTCCTGCCTCATCCTCTTGAATAGCTGGGACTACAGGCACAAGCCACTATACCCGGCTAAGTTTTTAATTTTTTGTAGAGACGGGGTCTCACTATGTTGCCTGCACTGGTCTTGAACTCCTGGCCTCAAGCAGCTTCCCTGTGGTTTCTATAATTCAGAAATGCCTCAGCACTGGGTCCTTGGAGAAATATTATGTCAAGCAAAGCCAAGGTATTACCAAGATCCTTTTCTTGGCCTGACAGAAGATCATTTAGGGAATTGTCATCTTGATGGCTTATAGACATAGAAACTACTGCATTTAATAATACAGGCCCAGTAAGAATCCCAGACTGTTTCTAAAAGATACAGTGTTACCATCTCTTACACATATTTGATTCTATGTTGTCTCTTGATACTTAATTAGTAAAGTCTGGTTCTTCCCTAAGTATGTAAAACCTAAAAGAATTATCCCTTCCTCATTTCCAGTATTCTTTTGACCAAAGAAAACTATTTGTTTGCAAAATATGAGGCACAAAATACTAGAACAAATTACTTAGCGCTAATAAAACCATTTGTCTGATGTCTATATGATGTTTTTCCTAACTTAATGTTCTAGGTGGCCAAAGCTTGTCCTTCAAACATTAAAGATAAATCAATGAACTGTACATCTCTGCCTTCTGAAAAATGAAGATAGTTTGGCATCTTCTTGATGAGTTAAGGTCACTATTTTAAACACAATGTATCTAGGAGCTAGACTAGAGCTGTTGCTAGCCTGTACTCACTGATGCAAATTAGAAAAAGGCATACCTTCTGGGAGAATGGATTAGGGAAAAGCTCTCCCTTAAGGTGCACACAGCCCTGAGAACGTGAACCTGGTGAGTGGATGATGACTTTATGTGAATGAAAAGTACCCCTCCCCTGAATGGATGCTGCTCTGTGCACGGAGTTCTGTGCAGTGATCAACCTGCACAACTGAGCATGGCAGTGTGTGCTGTGTGCCTCCCTCCAGGTGGCCGTGAACGGCCGTACTTTCTGAAATTCTTCACCTGTTTCACAAACCCAATCCCTTCCTTCACCCCTCCTCCATCCCAACCTCCTAATTGTCATCTTCTGATTTCCTGAAGACTTGGGGACCAGGCTATCAAGCTTCTAAGAACTTTGTGAAACATAAATATGAATTTATTCTACA